TCCCTGGATTCAAATACATACTTTCTGTCGGGATCTATGAACCAATTCTCCCATTGTGTTAATGTCTCTCTATGCTCGCTTGTGAACTTGTTTCGGAATGCAATAAAATCTCATCACAACGGAATCTTCGACAGCAAGCCAGTGCAAAAAACACCTCCTTCTCCTGTGTAATGTCTGGCTCGCCATAGAGATAATTGTGAAAATCTTTCCTCATAACGAATTCCTCCGACAACGAAAAGACTTCGCATGTCCGCAGAGTTCATTGCAGCGTAGAATTCCGCTGCAGAATCTCCCCCTTTGAGCAGATCTGTTTGAAGGTAACATGAGACCTCCGTAATACCTACGAGGTGATTCACAGACGAGGGATTCATACACTCTGTCCCAACGCTTGTTAACAAGATAATCTGTGCATGATTAAGTGTTCGAAGACGTCAGCTTGTTCCTATGACTGCGCTCAATGCCCGAACCGATGTTAAATGGCCGGTGAAATTATCCATGAATTATTCTCGCTGTTTGTTTTTACATAAACGCATGGCTGCGCGGAAAGATGAAGATGTGCATTGTCTCATGCCCCTGAATTTCTCGCGTTTTCAAAATACTTGAGGCGGTCCTCAAAGCCTCGTTCCGCGGACCGAGCCCTTTGGGCGCCCTCGCGACTGGATGCCTGAATGATTCAATTGGGGCACCGAAACTCACAAGACTGAGGAGACGGATCTAATGGGCACGAGAATCATGGCGCGACAGGGCTGTCATCGCATTCGGTTGCCCCGGATCCCGGGAGGCGTCGAAAGTGAAAAGGAGCTCCAAGCAGGCGTCATTGCATTTGAAAAGCTCAGCCCGACAGCTCGACTCATGGAAAAACACAGGAAAGATCGTAAGGATGAATGACGGCTCTGATTGAAATCCTTCACAAAGGCCGACTTGATGCGCTGGGTGGGGTGATCGCGTCCCGGAAACGAGATGATGAATCCCTGAAAAGGACCATTCTCAGACGGGGCGAATTCATGCGGCTTTTCTCAAGCTGAGCTCCGGGATCGCTCAGGACCTTCTCCTCTCGGCTCTGGAGCTTTCTACACTCGCCTGTCTCAGTAAGCGTAGAAGAGACGGGCGGCAAAGAGCTGCTGGCTGTGAGAATCGTTGTTAGGAAAACTCGGCTGGACTCGTTTCACGCGAGTCGGAACTGACAAGAAGAACAATGAGATGCCCAACGAGCCTGCTGTAATAGAAACGCCGTGACGCGGCCATGAGCGGTCCCGAATAGTTGAAGCGTCTCGATTGAACGGGGCATACCCAGCGCGCCGACGTCAACCGAAAGAGGGGTGTTATGCCAACTTGGTTTCTTGAACGTGAGGCTATCCTTCAAGGAGGTCGACATTTATTTTGATTTATTCTCGGAAGTCCATTTTATTTTATGAAGGTTTCGATGGTGATTGAATAACGCTATTCTCCGAGAGAGCTGATGGGTCGCGCCTGACGAAGGAGATGATCGTCGACCTTATTGCAACATCGAAATGCTATGAGAGAAGCCAGACCGCGATCAAATCAGACCTGCATTGACGAGTCGATGATATTATCGATACCAACGTTCAGAGCCCGGATGATCAAAACAGCACCCCTCGACTTAACGATGCGCCTTGAGGCTACGGCACTCATTTCTCATCCGATCCTCAGCTTTGGAGCAGTAATTTATTCAGTCTCCATGGACACCTTCGGAACGACCGTCTAATTCCACAATCTGACTTGATCCCATGCTGTATCAATCCCAGGTGGTCTCTGTTTCTCTCGCGGCCGCGGGGAGGAGAAATCATTGCTCCCATGCCGGTTCCGAGTTCCTCAGCTGATCCCGGACGCCTGTCGCCGGTTTCCGAAGGGCAACGCGACCCACGGGGGAGTACATTCTGAGCAGAACGCTTGGAAATAAGTTCGCTTAAGTATCTCGAAATAAGTATCTAGCTGACCAAGTCCCGCTGGCTCTCCTCGGAGCCGTGTCAATAATCTTGAGTACAATCCTAGACGGAGCTGCGGATCCTTCCGATCTATGGTTCATCTCCTCATGAGGGTACCAGAGCTACTGCAAAAAGTTGAGTCCGACCCCGAACTAGATACTGAGCCCAATCAGAGACGATGCTCAGAACCACCTCGAGGTTGACCGGACTGACGCAGAGGCATTCACGGAAATTCCGGCTCGCTGGTACAGAGAAGCGGAGACTCGAGAAAACGCAAAAGTGTACCGTGGGAAAAGTGGGCGCCGAGGTTGCAGTGGAGAAGGTCATTAGAAACTCCGACCGTGTCTGTTTCCACCACGAAGAACTTGATGCTCTCTGCCAGATTAAGTACTTGTACGCAACGTGCTAACCCCAATGATAACTCAACATGGCGCTCCAACATTCAATTCACGACCACCGGTTCCTGGAATGTGTATCGATTCCGGCTGAGAAGAACCCTGAGAATCCGAACGAAAATGAATGCTTCGGAAATCTGTGCGGTCGAGTCTCCCTCACCAACAACGAATAGGAGATATCCCTCGACGTTATATCCACCTCTAGAATCGGTCCCCGCCTGCACCTCGAGCTGCTTGAGAGTAGAAGCTCTCGCAAAGCGGTCCAAACTTCAGGATTAACTCGAAGTGATCCAAGATGATCATAGAGCGTGATGTGATAACAGATCAGTCAGGCACATTCCTCGAGACGCCTGATCAAATCGTCAAAGTGTTCCCAATCGGTGTGTAGGCGTTGGAATTACAGGCGCGCTCGGAAGCGCCCATCTCAAGTGCTGAGCATGCTTGGAACTTCCGTAACTCCGCGGAATCTGCGCGGTTCTAGATTGAGGATCCTCCACCTGTGGCTATACAAATATTTACAGGGCCCCGACGCTCTTTTGAATCAACACAGTGGGTCTCAAGAAAGAGAGTTGCGGTGTGAGCGTCTCCACTGATTCGTCGCGAAATCTCGAATGCAGTGAGCAGTGACAGAACGGTAAATAAAATGATCGATCCGCTGTCGGATTGCTATCACCGTCGGGAGCGACCCTACCCGAACTCGCATAGCTGGATCAAGAATTCCATAAGTCGGTGGGAACCCTTTTCCTCTCCGGCTGATCAAATCATGAGTTGGTCGCATCGAAGACTTTGGAACACGGAAAAAAGGTGATCGGAACATCCGCCGGAACCACTGAGAAAACAAGAAAGACATTCAGCCCCGATCGGTCGGTCGTGGAAAAGTTATTTAGCAGCGAAACGACCGTTGCTATAATAATTCAATTGAAATCAATTGCCTAATTCGGTTCCATCGGAGCAGCGCCTCATATCCCCGCCGATCCAGCTTTCGCGCAGTCAAGCCATCTTCCTCCGTGGGGAACCTGCTGTAATGCCCACGATCAACATCCAACCGATTAGAGTAGCCAGGGAAGGCATCGAATAATAGGTTCCATGATCTAAACACGACTCCTCATTTACGATACCTCTTTGCCTGTATGATAATTTCCAAGAGATGCTGGAAGCCATGCTGACTGAGAGACTCCGGATATTCCTCTCGGGGAGCCGCAAAGGAGCCGAGCAGCTTCGGCATGCCAACCAGAGACCGTTCCGCTGTGACATAACTTCTCGCTCACGTCAGTCAGATTCTGATTCTTGGAGTGTTCCCTCTACGGAATCGTTCTGTGATATCGTTCTGAACTTGAGACGTCATTCTATCCCTCCATACTATTAAGATGATAATCCCGTCATCAAGCGATCGAGCCAGTCAGAGATGTACTGTAGCGGGCTCCTGTGAGAATCTCAATCCCTTCCTGATAATGAGCATGATTTTTGGAGATGGGAGCGCGTCATTCCTCTAGAAGGGATTATTCCCAACAGGTATTCCCATCGGTGGCTCAATAATCATTCAATTGGATGGCTGTCAGAGGTCATTCAACGGTTTTTCCGCATGGGGTATCGAGAACAAGACCTCATTGTCACCGACGATGGGAAAATGTCAGAGATGAAGTCTGGGACTCATTCCACGGGTGAAATCTGGGAAACGGATCCAGATTTCGGCTTATGCAGTAATCGAATTTTGCGTGTTGCCAGTTAACTGCAGACGGATTGCTCCGCCGCCGCGGCGAAGAAGTGAACCCCATGACGAGACCGCGCAGAGTTCGAGTTCTCGCTAACGACGCGGGGGCGGAGCAGGGAGGAGGGGAGGGGGGTTCCTCCTCGAGCGTTCCGACTACCTATACTCTCTTTGTTGAAGCGAGAACATGTTTAGATGCTTCCTCTAGGATGCATTGAACGCGTCGTATCGAGGCTCTGCTATTGGCGGGGTATGGCAGTCGCAGAAGGTGACCACAGATTTCTCGCAACATCAGAGTACTGTTGCGCCCAGGGGGCTATAAATAATCATCGGAATGACCCGGCTCTTATATTATCTCACTTCCAGAGCGCAGGTTCCTTGCTACTATGTCGATTGCGAGAAGAAATGCCTCATATAGTCGCTTACGCTCGCTCAGGAATGGAATGACTCTGACGTGAGAGTCATTGTCAGGCCTCTCCGATCTCCAAGGGATTGACCATCATCGGTCCCTACACGTGGTTGTCGTTGCCTTCTTGCAGACTGTCATCATCTCGAAAACATCAAGATCGCCGGCGAGTAGGGTGAATTCTGAGAGATGAGATATTCCGGGGTCAAGGCTGAGCCTTGATCAGGAGAAGAATTGGAGGCGATAAAGAAAGAATGGTCGCCCATGTTTTTGGTGAAAAACTTCTTGCACGAGTTGCCCATCTCCTGCTGTATTTCTCGTCAGTCTGCTCGCCAGACTGGACATGTTTTTCCCGCTCCAACTCGATGGATTCAAACTTGCAGGACTTCACCAGGCAGCTAGGCCCAATCATTTCAAAGATTGAGCTGTCGGTAAGAATCCTGATTCTGCGAGTTCATAGCTATTCGCTCTTCACTTAAGCATGATTCCTCTGCTGCAAAGTTCCATCAAAGTTCTGCTACTATCTAATTGAAAGCTCCCAGATATTTCGGCTGCATCGCTGACTTCGAGTTTAATATCCGATGTACATGACTATTTACATTTCGACCAGGCTTTTTCACACTCTCGAACACGCAGTTTTTTTTTACATTTTCTCCATATATTATTTTTTTTATGGCAGTTTTCAGTATTTTCCTCTCTGGTGTGCTCACTGCTCGATAGGTTTGTACATCTTATGAACATCTCTCCTTTCTCTAAGCTTGGCTCCTTCATTGCTCTTCCGCGCGGGCGATTTCATATCCCATAGTCAGAGGACGCTAGCGGATCCACGTCGGTCCCGGGCTCCGCCAAGCTCCTAGTGTCGCCCGCAGAGTCGAGGCTGGAGAGACCTTCTGCATCCGATTATTGCTTTCTGTTTGGTCTCCAGAGCGAATATTATTCACCTCCCCATGAGATCCTAAAGTCTTCGAATTTCTCGGAGCCCACATTCACTCCATTTCGAGATTCCGAATTGAAAAGGTCTGGACATTTCCATGAGAGCTTCGCCGGCTCCCGCACTTCACGTTGATGAAACAATGGGGTTGCGAACGTTGCAGCCAGAGCTCTGGGAATGGAAACCTACGCGTACGAAAACCGAACCTTCATCTGACTCCAGTCTCCCCGGGAAGGAGTTCTCCGAAACTGAAGCTGAAAATTCTCGTGTGAGATCGCCGACGTTCCGAGAAGGGCTCGCCGTCGCATCTGGTCGCGAACAGAGCTCAATCCCGACACCCCGCAGAATGCGGTCGCTGTCCCGTTGGTTTTCTGGGATCATCGGGGATCTAGCCGGCTGTCCATCCGAAAAGTACTCATCGGATGAGTCCCAATCAATGATTGCAAGACATTGATAGGGGACCCTCGGAGACTTCTTCAAGCGACCGATGAACAGCAAGAGGAATTCGAAAAAGACAGCAAAGTACACGGATTTCCGCGATGAATGACAACACGTCGATCGCTTCCCTCGACGTGCGCAGCGCGGTGTTTACACCCGAGGCTAATTAGAGCTTGGTCGACTCACGGCCTTTTCTCAGTGATCGAAGATTCATTGCGGAAGCCTCCTCCGTGGGGATTCTGGAGTCTCTCGAATGCAAATTTGATCGCGAATTTTGGGACTGGATTGGTGCTCCGGACGAAGAACCAATCCAGGGCTCCTCGGATCCGCTTGGTGCGAAAGTTGAGGTGTGATGATAAATTAATTGAGAATGCCGACAATCTAAAGATAGCAGTGAGACAAAGCTCACGTCAGGAACTGATCAGAAGAGTACGGATGACCCGTGACCGCTATCGCTGCGAGTCAGTCCCCTCCCGACTCGAAAGTCTCTGTCTACCTAATTATGAGGCCGAACGCCTTCTTCCTTGCCTATTTTCCTCCACGCTTGCGATCTTCGGGGAACGCTAAGTTGAATATTCGTGAATGTGGGTTCTTAGACGACCTCGATCGTTGCTTGCCCCGTTGATTGGTGATTCTCCTCGGCGTAGAGCTTCTTGATCGAGTCGTAGATGCAGTCCTCCTCCTCTTCGTCAGGTTCCATCTTCCTTTTACTCGCCTGTCGGCGTCGAGACATCTGCAGGTGACGCGACAGCTCTTCTCGGCACCGGATAATATTCTCGGGCTTCCCGGAGCCAACCAGCGACTGGAGAGCCACCGTGATGAGCAGCCAATGAGGCGTAAGACCTTCCATTTCGAGTGAAACGAGGGCCAATGCGACGCTTGATGGCTTCTCATTTGCGAGAACGGAGTTCTGTGCCAGAAGCAATTGTAGCTTCGACTCCCAGAGTTGTTTCAGCGAGGCAATTTTTCGAGGACCTTCGTGTCCCAAGACGGATTCGCAGTTGTTTTCCAACAACGCATGGTACTGGAACGGCAAGTATCGAGTGAGGCATTTCAGAGGGTAAACAGAATCATCGAGGAATGTAATTGAGAGGGATATGTATCACGGATGCGGTCACTTTCTCTTCATAGTACTCACTGCGTGGAGGAAATCGAGCGGTGTAGCCCGGGTCAGATCCCACCCGAAACGTTCCAGAATAACTTTTTCCATACGTCTGACTTCGGAAACGCTGCACTCGCATCCACCGCATCGTATGAGCGAGGCTAGACTAGGCATCTCCTGTAATGAAAAATAGACCAAGCATTAGATGCATGACCCCACGAGCTCGCGAGTGTTCCTCTCGAGCGATTGAGATGCTTTTCGCTCGGAACGTCCTCATTTCAATCAAGAGTGAGTTTCGGTCTGATGTCGCTCGAGATTTTCACAGATTGAATATAGCCTGTATAGCAGGCAATATCCACGGGTGGCGGCGCGTCCCTAATAATTGTTCTGCATGTCTAGAATGCTTGGAGTCGGACCGTATCGACATCGTTCAAAGCTTTTCAGGGTGCTTTGCGAGAGGGAATCTGTCCTTGAGCGCTTATCGACCCAGAAGTCGACGACGAGAGCAGACCACTCGAGTTCTCACTCTCACTGAGGCATCCAAAGCTCTCGATATCTTTCCAGGAAAAACCTTCCTTTAAGGATATAGACGGATATGTCTCAGAGACTATAGCAAAGAACGCATCATCATTATGCCCATGATGATCGATGATCACCATTTCCCGACCGCGGAGGTTTCAACGGAAGGGAACCTGAAGATGCGCGCGAAACAAACGCGGAACTCACCTCATTGTCTAAAATCATTTTCGCAGCGAGGAAGAAACACGAGCACGCGATGACTTGCAGAAACCTCGGTTTCACGCGGACGAGTTGGAGGAACTCGTCTAGCAGCGTTGTCGCGAGGAATAAGACCTCGCTTGGAAGATGGAACAAATTCGCAATCGACGAAAACCAGCGCACCGTGTAGTCCCGTTGAACTCCGCTGATCTCTTCTTGGAGGGCCGACGAAGTCTGCGCATCAGAAAGAAAATATGAATACCCATCGAACTATCGCCCTCCTAGGAGATTTTCATGGAACATCCAATGCGAATACAAGTCCCCGATGTACCGGAGCGAAAAGCGGAAAACGATACTTACATGTGTAGCGTACTTCCTCGGCTTCCAGTGCGCTCGTTCACGAGCGAGATGTTTCTTCAAGAGAGACCCGACTCTCTCGACGTTCCAGTGGTGTCTCAGTTGTGCTTCGAAAGCGGCCGATAAAACAGGCTCACCGAGCGACTGCATGGCTGTATATGGCGAGAATTGCTGAATCAGAGATCTGTGGACGGATAAGGAAGATCCAATGAAAACTTTTGTCGATCGAGGGAATTTCGCGGCACCAATTTCTATTTCATCTCATCCAATTTTCCTCTGAAGTCATGGGAAATGTTGGGTGGCTGTGCTCTGGAGAGAGAAGATGCGAGCTTGACCTAGCACAGGCTAACGACCGCATTTCGCGACAGGGCCCAACAGTGAGTTAGCTCAAAGGTAAAAAACAGCTGTCGCTACGAAAACAAGACTCAACACAAAATCGTTCGCTGACTCAGATATTAATACTAATCCTTCCCCGGACTGATGTGGAATTCTACGTCGAGCAACGACGCCGACGTGACTGCAGATCTGAGAATCAGCTGGGAATCCAGTGGTTGACGTTCATAAGAAGACACCAGGTGGCGCCACAAGTAGCATCGTCATTGCCTCAGTCTGCCCAAGCAAAGGTTGCTATGGGCTCTGATGTCACTCGGGACATTGGACGACTCTCTATAGAAACAAGCGAACGGAAAGAGATTACGGCACATTTCGTCTCGTCTCAGATGATGTTCGAAATATGGCCCGACACCACCCGGAAGAGCATTACGAGCTCGGGTTGGACGTCAAAGGGTTGCATCATTCCTATGCCTGAGTCCGCCGAGAGCAAACAGAGTCTCATGGAGTAGGGGGACTGGCGAGCGAATGGGGACCGTGATTCCGCAAAGGGCCACCGGCCACCGACATCGTTTCTCTCCGAATGTGGAGCTGGCGATCGGCAAATTGCATCGGTCGTTGCATGGAGCAGCGTCAACGGTCCTTCAAGGAGTCTATTTTGCAGAACAACCATCTCTGTTATAGACTAGCTTCCGTAGTTCCGATACAGCCAGTACGAGCTCCTGCTTCCGCTGCTCCCGAGTCCCGAGCCACTCGCGGAGAACGGTATCGGAATAAAACCTCCCCAGGATGACCGTGATTGGTAGCCTCGAATCCCGATACAAGCTTAGATCTCCTCACCGTAACCTCTCTCGGGTTTATTGACCTTCAGATATTTCTCACGGAGAGACGATTAGACCGTCGGAACCCTGAATTCTGAACAGCATCCATCCGTGCCCTTCGGGTTTCTCGGGGGAGGATCTCACACAACGGAGCGTCGGAAGCAGCGACGAAAGCTATTGCCGAAGCGGAAAATCACTGTCGAGTCACCGCTGATGCAATTCACGGATCGGATCCCGAGGAAGCGGAGAGCTGCTCTGCTCGATACATGATTACATGGTAGCACGAAACTCACCAGAAGAAGAAGGAACACAAATCGAACACCCCTTTGAAGAACAATGATGTACGATGATGGAATGTTGTCGAAACTCTCCTCTTGTTGCCACTGGTCCGAAGCAATAGCAGCCACCGAAGTGATTAACCACTTGAAGGTAAGGTCAACGAAGGGCTTATAACCTCAGCCAACTTCCACCTCGAAAATGAGATTTGAAGGGTGAGAGCCCGATAGAGTCTTTCGAATGACTGCCACCAGACAGCCATAGACTGACTGAGTACTAGGTGGCTGCGGAGCAGCACATCAAGGGTAGTGGCGACGATGACGACCATGGCGCCCTCTGGGACGTGAACAGACAGACAGCGCTTTGCGTCAGCTCTGCTCGGACAGAACCAATGCTTCTCGATTACTCTCGAAACGAGCTTCATATTCGGGAGGAGACTGGATATCCGACATCAATCAGAAGAGAATGAGGTACCGGAAGCCTCTCGAGAATTCCTGATTATTGTGTTGTCTTGTTTATTAGGTATTATTCTTAGGAGATATAGGCCGCTCCGGGATTACAGATTCTCGAGATTGATCTTCGGGGATAGCTCTGGGTTTGGGTCGCTGAACACTGCCTCTTTCTCCCACGGCAAATCTTCGATCCGAGTCCTACCGATATCATCTAGATCGAGATACTTCCGCTTGTCTGATATGCGCTCAGGCGACGAAGAAGCAGGTATCTGCAAATCGAGTGACGGGGCAAGGCACGCGATATGAGCAGCTGGTCGCTTGCTCAGGGTGAGTCTCTCAGATACGTCAAGACTGGAATGGTTCGCTCGACGCGACGCTCCAACTTCTCTGGCAACTTCCTCGCTTCTGCGAGTGGTGGATTCCCTACTTTGATGCCGCAGAGAGCATTCCAAAATCCAGTGCACGCCCTACTCCGATTGGTTCGTTACTTGTCGTTCACAGCTGATCGAGCACCTAACCGATCTGCCCGTTACATTCAAATGCGAATCACTCCAGCCTAGTAGTACTCCTTCCGAAGCGCACTCGAATCAGCTCTAGCGGTGGCCCTTCCGTGGGGATGTTCGAGAATAATCTCTCACCTCCAAGAACAATCATGAACGCTGAGAGCGGTCTGGACGGAATCTCGCTTACGCATCCGTCAGAAGATGCTCATTCGAAACAGGCATGTACGGGTGGCTAGATCCTTCATCTTCCGGAGAGCGGAGGTCTGCTCCATAGGCGACTAGCTTCTCGGGAGATAAAGCGCGGCGCAAGCGTGGGCCTTCTGAATGGAGTACATGCTCACTAAGGCTGCTCAAACTACTCCATTGCGATCCACCACGGCACTGCAGAGGGGTCTTAGCGGGCGACGGGCTGGACGGGGATATCCGACTGTCAGCTCGCGTGGAGTTTCGAGAAAGTGCACATGCGCATCATATGAAGAGCGGTTTGTCATGATCGGTATCGCACATATCAAAATCGAATGATGATCGGTCGGCAGCAGAGACGTCGTCGGTAGCTTGAGACCCCCCTCAGCATCCGGAGACCGAACGGAGTCTTTCCTCTCGCAAGATCATCCGTTCTTCCATCGAAAGTTCACTCTAGTGACAGGGGCCTGGAAATCTTTCTGAGCTTCGATCCGGCCTCAAAAGGTCCGAAGACGTTACTGCTGTCGCCTTCGACACCTCGGACTACTCACGATTAGAATATGCAGGAGCTGCTGTCATGTCAAGGGTATGAACACATGACTCTGCCCCTCAACGAAGTCGGTCACTAATCTTGCACCGACACAAAACGGAACTTGAGGAGATGTATATCCATGCATACGTGACGAAAAAACGCCCATCCGCGGGATCAGCTTCAGACAACTGCGCACTTTGGCGCGATGGGTCACATCTGGGTCAGTGCGCGGCCCCGCGAGAGAGCTGGCAAGTGAAGCGACGTCGGCGTCTGACCGTGGTAACATCGGCTCCGCCCGCGACGTTCAAACGGAAGGTACCAATGATGCCCCGAAATGGTCGCTCCCCCTCCTTGCTAGTAGGCGTCTAGTCTTTCTCTCTTGTGAGTTTTTCGACACTTCGCTGCTCTAGAAATGACGGACGGTAGATTCGTCGGAAATTGGATGGCACGTATACATCTGGCGATCACGAGGCCTTCTTTTAATTGACAGGCTGGCAAAATCAAGGATATGGTTCTTCCGTGAAGTCATCCCCAACCCGGGCTCACTACGTTGGCACGAGAGCAGCAGATATCGTCGAGAAGTACCTCCAGGTCCTGCGAATATCGAGTGACTCGAATGAAGACGGAATCGGGAAAACATGGAATGATGCGTCGATTCTATCAGGGTAGCCTTCGGCATATGCAGGCCCGTGGATAAGACAGGACACACAGGATACACTCTGATCGGCGCAACTTCCGCTCGCCACTCGACCAACCGAATGGCCCTCGGTGCCTGTTCCGGTTTGGCCCCCCTCCTCGCACGAAGATCGACGAAATCTGCATACGAGTGCATTCCCATACGTTATTCGACATCGAGCGAGTGTCGCTTGCTCCCTTTAACGTGGCGGATGTCCCCCTCACATTCTAGAAAAGGCTACTTGGCAGAAGACAGACCCTCATCCTTAAGGGTGGGACCGAGAGAGATCCTCTGCTAGCAGGTCCCCCAACAGCCTTGAGCTAAGTGCGTCTATTGAGTACCTCACTGAGTCTGCCGAAGCCTCCCCGACTTGGGAACATCAGAGTTCACCTCAACCGACCGTAGAGGAGTCTGAAGGCATTCTCCTTCGAGGGATCGCAGAATCAGCTTCGAAACGTCAGAAAATCCGCCTTGCCCACACTCACCCGCTGGAAGTTATTCGAGATTCGGAGCCCGAGTTTGAACTCGGGCGTGGATGCGAACGCACAAATCTAATGGCACAAGTTTTTGGAATGATGTTTACCGGCCGATATCTTCTGTTGTGCTACGCCGGTGACGTTCGCGAATATACCCGGAACAAGCGAGTGGTGAGAGGAGCACGGTAGACGTCATTCAAGGTCGGAAACGAGACGCCAAGGCACAAAATCTGTCTGTGTTGCCTCACCCCGCCGCTACGGAGTGTCCCAGTCTGACGAGCGAGTGAGCTTTGCACGTCGATACCCTCCCGACGAACATGGCGATTGCTCGTCCGAGCAGCCAGATCCGAAGTTTGCGTCATACGGCTGAAATAATCGTCGATCTGGAGGGTTCCTACAGGGCTGGTTCACCCGCGTGAGATCGATACTGGAACACGCGCATTTTCGCCAGAGCGTCCGGGAAGTAGAGGGGTAGGGGGCGCATTACGTCGGCGGCTCATGTCCCGAATCGCCCCAAACTCAAGCTCCGTGGAGATTTTCACATTCTGCCTAGCTCTGGTCAGACGGTTGGGCGATCTCTTCAGATGGCATTATATTTTATGGACGAGGCATCATCCAGAAGTGTTCACCGTTGAGATCCACATGGAAATCTACCAGCGCGTTGAGCGTTCAAGGGCCCGGTAGCCGTCCGCTGCTTTTCAGAAATGCTAGCAGAGCGTGTAGGACTGCGTCCAGTTTTATAATGGCCCAACATCATGCATTTCGGCAGGATATATAGGTGGAGTGTTCAGAAGTTATTGCTCCTCACAGTGTGTGCGTCCGGTTCGCTGACTGCTCGAGCGACGGCGACGCTCAGAGTAGGTTGGACGACAAACGGCTTGGTCATTCGCCATCCTCGTCGTCGTCCGTCGTTCTTTCAGTCTGCCCGTCCCTACATTTGAGGCGAATTGGCGCGGCGGCAGGAAGGCCAACAGCTTCACCGGCGCTGTATTGTTGTGCCGCTCGAGATGATGACGATGGTAGAGACTTTCTGTCGGGGTCCCAGAGAACCGAAATAACAAAGTCGTCCACTACGACTATGGAGCCTGACGGAACCATCTCTTTTCGGTCGAGCCTTCGGGCTCATCAGCTGCTCGATCATAGGTCGATCTTCCGCTCGCTTCCTCAGCGACACGGCGAAGATTCCCCGACAGATGTGGGCGACCTTCCACACCTTTGGAGCCCTCCCATGCCAAATGGACCATTTCAATGCCCGGATTCGATGCTATACGCTATACTCTATTCGTCGGTGATTCTCGTGGTAGACGGCTAGCGTTGGAGCTGTCTAGATATTCTCGGTGATTCCCAGACCTCTGTGAGTTCGCCAATCGTCCAAAAGACCGTTATCGATCCGAGGGTCCGAAATATATTTTTCGTATTGTTTCATTTTCGCAGAGTTATCTCAGCATCATCTACCTCGCGTGAGGCCAAAGACGATGCGGACAACCGTCGTCACCAGCAGCAAGTCTTATGGGGCACTGCTGCTGGTGTTCCATGCAAGCTGCCAGGACCAGTCTCTTCCGAGACGCCTAGGTGAGAGCAAGGGAATGTCGGACTGAGAATCGAGAAACGAGTTCCGACCCGCAACTTGTGGGGCTCTATCGGTCGAGCGTGATGCACTGCTCCCGGAGAGGAGCTTGCTGACGAAGAGCAGCTTCGCAAGAGCTAACAGTCTCCTCGAGGTTCATACGTTCGACGATACGACACTTGATACCCTCCAAATCACATCACATCACCGAAAACTCCGGGAGATGATAAACATTGGTCGGCGTTCCATAACGAAGGGCGACGCCATCACAGGAGGGTCTGTCCACTGCTTCTTGGCACTACGCCACGAGCGCGCTGGCTGAGATCGCTGCCAAATCTCCATGGGTTGCTTTTGTTTCGTTGTTTACAGATCCTCGCGTCGCCGGACATACGCGAGCTGTTCGATGCTACAATGCCGTGCAATGTTCCGAAAGTTGAAATCGCCCGCGAAAGAACGAGTTCCGAAGCCACAGACCCCCGAACCGGCTGACCGAATGACTGTCGAGTCACCTGGTCCAAGAGCGCAACTGGTTGATTTGCTCATTTACACTCATAGTCCAAGCAATGGCGGAGAACGCCATGGGAACCGAGGCCTCTATCCGGACAGAATTACCGAACTGCAGCAGAAATGAGGACGTCGCGTCGGCGTCGTCGGCCGGAGCAACGAATTACCAGAAATGCATTGTTTCCATCCGGTGCTGCTTCTGCTTTGCTGCTTCGCAGCTTCGAAACTACAAGTTTAAGCACGAGGAAAGATAGCGATCCTCAAGGCGAATGTCCGACAGTTGGACAGATGACCGAACCCGTCGTCCGAGCGACTAGAATCGTCGGGTCATCTGAGAAATGCGTTATGCCTGAGTA